AGAGCCTGAGGAGTTACCTCACTCGTTTTAACGAGGAGGTACTCCAAGTTGATGAACCAGACGACAAGGTGACGATGACCGCCTTCTTGGGTGGCCTCCGTTCATCAAGTTTTCTTTTCTCAGTTCTAAAGCGCCCACCGAAGAGCATGCCAGAACTATTCACAAAAGCTCAAAGATATATGAATGCTGAGGAAATCAACAAGTTTAGGCAAGGTGAATCATCTCACAGATCACCAGAAACTTGACCTGCCTCTGCACTGTTCTCAAACAGGCAGCCTATCTCCAGCTTAACGGCTCTCTCACGGGTCGCCAAAAAAAAAAAAAATTAGCCTCTGTATTGTTCTCAAACAGGCAGCCTATCTCCAGTTTAGCGGCTCTCTCACGGGTCGCCAAAAAACTTGGCCTCTGCACTGTTCTCAAACAGGCAGCCTATCTCCAGTTTAGCGGTTCTCTCACGGATCGCCAAAAAACTTGGCCTCTGCACTGTTCTCAAACAGGCAGCCTATCTCCAGTTTAGCGGTTCTCTCACGGATCGCCAAAAAACTTGGCCTCTGCACTGTTCTCAAACAGGCAGCCTATCTCCAGTTTAGCGGTTCTCTCACGGATCGCCAAAAAACTTGGCCTCTGCACTGTTCTCAAACAGGCAGCCTATCTCCAGCTTAGCGGCTCTCTCACGGGTCGCCAAAAAAGCTTGGCCTCTGCACTGTTCTCAAACAGGAAGCTTATACCTCAAGCTTAAAGACTCCCTCATGGGTCGCCAAAAGTTAGGTCTCAAAAAGTGTAGCTCTCTCACGAGCAGTTCTCCAACTCTGTCTTTGCTTTCGCGCAAGCAGCCTACTTCTCTCTCTCTCCAGGTAATTATGTGAGATATTTTAATGTTTGGAATAACATTATTTTTGTCATCACAAGTAGGTTCTCCGGAGGCAGCCCTAGGCTCACCCAAGACGCCCAGCACCTGGAGAAGGGCTTGATCATCAAGAGCAGCACCCAAAGGTTCCTTACTACTTGCAATGTCTAGCCCAGTGCCTAGAAGTGTGCCTGACTGCTGTTGCTCGTCAAAACAAAGTTGCCCAATAGCTTGAAGGGTGTCTGACCCTTCAAAATTGCGCAAAGCAGAATTTTAGGCGTAAAAATCAGCACCTAAGACGCCCAAATCAGCACCTCGAGTGGGAATCGGATCAGCCCATGCTCCCAGGCCACTGCCTAGCTCTCCCTGACGAACCTTGGACTGATTTTCAGCGCCCCTTGATGAAAAAATGCTACTGCCCAGCGTTCCAAAGCCGCCCAGCGCAGCAGATCTGAAGCTGTCCAGGACAGCAAGGCCAGCGCCCAGGCAGCTGCCCAGCGCGCCTGGGCTATCCAGGATACGAGGAACAGAGCCTAGGCAGCCGCCCAGGCCCCCAGCGCCTAAGCCCCCAGCGCGCGCGCGCGCTGCCTGCGCAGCCGCGCGCTGCGCTGCCCAGCCGTCTCCTTTCGCTGTCCAGCCCTTTATTTTCAGCCCCAAAGCTGTCCAAGACAGCATTCGAATGCTCAAAACTAGCCTCCAAGTTCTCCAAAATGGTGCCTACTTCCTCCCTTTCTTCAACCTCCACCACTCCCTCTTCAAAATAAAGTAGGCAAATAGAAAATTATGGGCCTTCTTCAAAACAAAGTGGCCAAAAAGAAAGCTATAAGCTATTTTCAAAACAAAAAAAAAAAAAAAAATGTAATCAATGCCTCCTTCTCCAAGTCTCCTTGGACATGGGACATTGGGGGGCAAATGATGGGTTAAGCCCAAGTAGTCCAATTTATGTATTAAAGCCCAACCTCATCGTGAATCCACCAAGCCAAAGGAGCCCAAGACCGGTTAGACTTCTTGCTTAGCACGTCACCAAGAGGAAAGCACGGGAAGTTTATCTGCACCGCCTTAAGGAGCCCAAGGCCGGTTAGACTTCTTGCTTAGCACGTCACCAAGAGGAGAGCACGAGAAGTTTATCTGCACCTCCTTAAGGAGCCCAAGGCCGGCTAGACTTCTTGCTTAGCACGTCACCAAGAGGAGAGCACGGGAAGTTTATCTGCACCACCGAAGGAAGAAAACGGTCCAATCATTGACCACGTTTCATGAAGAGCTCCCCAACCTCTTCCTTCCGTTGAGGATAAGTCGCGATCTCCACCAAAGATAATCTCTAAGCTGCGATAAAGAAGCCTTGAGGATATGTCATGATCTCCACAAGAATGATCTCTTATCTACTATAAAATGGCTCTAATCTGGGAGAGGAAAGACACATGCTCCATCAGAGACTTACAGAAGACGAACCGACTACCGGAGATTATTATTTTCTTTGATTCTCCATTCTTTTTCTCAAAGCTTGTATCTCCATTCTCCATACCTTTGAATCAATAAAATACCCGGCGACTGAAGCCATTGAAGAGTGGACGTAGGTCGAATTGACCGAACCACTATAAATTGTGTCTTCTTTAATTCCTTCGTTGATTTCATTGCATTTATTATCTATACTTGACAGGTGATGTGCAAAACCATTTTTGTGCATCATCAAAATTCATTTGACAAAAATGACCACTCGAAACTTTATTTGGATTTAAGTCTATCTCTCATATAGGTCTCCTTCTCTCTTTCTCTCTCACTCTCACTTTCAAAGTTTCATATACACGAAAGAATCTTCAATATTACGATAATATCATATAAGCATTAAGGATATGGTATCACCAACTAATAATAAAATTTTAAATTGGCAAAGTAAACTTTACTTTAATAGTTATTAACTTACATAGAAGAATAGTAGATAATTGTATATATTTCTCGCCAATGCCTAAATTTGTTTTTCTACCCACATTAGTGGACTCTACACTCCTACAGGATTCTACTACACTCCTTTTATCTCCTCATTCTCATTCATACTCTATTTCTCTCATTCAAATTCTCTTTCCTCATCCCCATTCAAGCCATAAAGTCGCTTATCTCTCTCTCATCCAATGCCTCCTCTTGCTTTTTCTCTGTAGCAAGATTTTCCAGATATGTAGGTTAGACAGAACCCCTATAACCCAATGGCAACACTTTGTTGCATTTTAATTGTGTTTTGTGGGTGGCTTTGTTGTTACATTAACGGCTTTGAATGTAATTTTTGGTGTTCTCTATATAATTTTTCGCCTGCATTTTTTGTTGGTATTGTTGTTATAATGGTTTAACTAAATTTAAAGTATTTCTATCTTTGGTAGAGATTTTATAAATTAGAAGGTAATTTTCGTTCCTTTTATTTGTCACAAGTGTTATATGGTGGTTGATGAAGTGAAATGAGGACCTAGTTTTTGTAAATAAAGGATCTTATTATATCAATGTACGTATTCCAAAAATTATGTGAAATAGATACACATTTTTTTTTTTTACTTTTTAGTGTGATTGTTATGCTTTCTTTTTCCTTTTTGTGTATGTATTGCGTGAGGAATGATAAAATACCATTTGGGTTCTAAGTTTTGATCTCTATTTTGGAATGCAAAAAACGTATGTCATTTTCTTTGTTCTGCCTCAATGCTGTTTTTGTTTGAATATTTAAAAAAATATTACTGTTGCAATTCTTCCAATACTTGGGAGTTGCTCATTCATAATGTCTTGGTTGATTGTGGTCATTGCTCTCTCTCTCTCTCACTCACTCTCCATAGCCACTGCTCCACATGAGAGCAAATGTCCAACCGAAAACAACACCCACTAATCACCAATGTCTCCATCCCCCCACCCCCTCCCCAGCAAAAAAAAAAAAATCCAAAGCCTAAGGTAACCATCAAAAAAAAAATAAAAATGATACCAATGGCACAAAAAAAAAAAAAATCAAAGCCAAGTTAATCGTCATCACCACTTTCATACAAATAAAAAGTATAAATATAATATAACTTTCAAGCTATTATTCATACCAAAAATAAATAAATAAAAGCTACAATACAAACGCCATTAATCACCAATATCGCCATACCTCACCCTCTCCTCAAAAAAAAAAAAACCCAAAGCTCAAGTTAATCACCGACAAAAAAAATTATAAGTGATACCAATGATTATAATGTGACTTTTGTGACATAAAGGTTTAATTATATATATTATGTATGTAAGTTGATATTACTCAGAGATTCTATTGTTGTGTGCTAAAATTTTATGTGTAACATAGTGTCTTCAAATATTGACAATAACTAGTATGTATTTATGAGAGAAATAATAACATTCAAAAAAAAATAGTAATATTCAATATTAATATTTCAAAAAATAAAACAAAAAAATAGCATTCAAAACAATAAATAATACGAAGAATTACATCTAAATTTTCTAAGGTTTGTCACTTAATCACTCAGATCCTCTGACATTTGAAATATTATACGCAAACCCACTGAAGTTTGTACGTACCTAACACTTAGATCTGTTAATAAATTATACTTAGACCCCTTGAAATTTGTAAGCATATAATACTTATGCCCTTCAAGTTTAAAATGTCATATTTAGACTAAAAATACTCCAATAAAAAATAGAATATTAATATTTTAAAATAAAAATTCATGTTTTATTGTATTATTTATTGAAATAAAATCAAAAATAAAATACTAATTTTTACTTAAAAAGTCATAATTAGTATACAATTATAGTCTTTAAATATAATTTACAGGGGGTCTAAATGTAATTTCTTAATTAATATACTAACAGATGTCATATACAAATTGCAGAAGGTCTGTGCATAATCTTTCAAATATCAAAGAATTTGAGTGATTAAATAACAAATTTGAGAGGATTTGAGTATAATTCTCCTTAAATAATAGCATTCAAAACTAACATTCAAAACATTCAATATTAACAGTTAAGGAAATAGAAACATTCAATATTAACATACAAAACAAAAAATAATAATATTAAATAATAATATATTTTTTTAAAAATAACATTCAAAATGATAAATAAATAATAACATTCAATATTAACGTCTAATTAAACATTCCAAAATATAATTTCTCGTAACGAACATACATTAATGTCTAAACAGAAAGAACAGGACAATGAGAGAAGTCTCGATCACGACGCCGAAAATCGGCCGAGAAAACGTCGCTCCAGCGTCTGGCGACGCCGCTAGTGCCATCCCACTATCCTGTGCAAATACGGTGACAACCGCGACGATGAAGGCGATAACCAAGGCCTCGTAGATGCTAAATTGTGCCATTGCTTCGGCTTGTGCTCTGTAATTACGAAGAAATAGATTTTGCAGCAAGGGCTTAGGGTTTGAAGTGGGAGGGTAAAGGAGGTTGTGTCAATTTATAGGTGATTTGGTGGATCCTATAAGTAGGAGTGACAGCTGTTTAGTTACCATAACTGCATAGTGTAAAAGTGGTTGCTGACGATTGGTAAGAACAAGGCACTGTCGAAGTCTGCATCGCCGTTGCCGTCGCCGGTGCCAAAAGTGGGGGTGGCAGTGTTTCTGTTGAATGGTAAGAGGGTGCTTTTGGGGCGGCGGTGATCCTCCATTAGCCACAACACCTTTGCCCTTCCCGGTGGCCACCTCGAGTTCAGTCAGTACCCCTAAACCCTCTATCCTCTTCTCTCATATGTATATACGAGTGTATGTATATGTACTATATATTCCTCACAGCATGTGTTTTAGTGGAGGACTTGATGATGGAGTGTTGTTACAAATATGGGAATTTTGCGGAAGGAGAAGATAAAGGAGAGAGATGTGGCAGCATATTTTTAGGAGTAAAACATGTAAGGGTAATTAAGTAATAAAAATGGACGAAAATGCTTAAAAATTGAGCGAGTGATATAATTAATACCGAATAAGTTTTAGACTTGGACAGGATTGACCTCCACTTCTTACTTTTATTGAAAGGAAAATACTATTTTGACCTAATTTAAGGATCTAATCTGAGGACATAATTCAATACAATCATTAGATTGGTAGTGGGCTCTACCTAATATTGAAACTCACAATTAATCCAATAGTTGAATTGAAGTCACATTATTAGATCATCAAATTCGTTCCCTATAACATTACTCTTTCAAAGTATTTGATAAAATTAATAATTCCTTAATACAATTCATATTAGCCTCATTGTCAAAAAGTGCAATAGTTTTGACAACATTTTTTGATTTATTATCAATGTAATATTAACATACTATTTTTGATATATAATTTGCTAAAGAAGGAAAAGATATTGATATTTTTTTGCAAGAGTTTTGTGAATCTTAATTTGATATTGTTCAAAATTCTCAAGAAAATATAATCTTTTTTTATGATCTCTAATTTAGATTTTAATTGATTGATCTCATATTTAAGACTAGTTATTACCTGTGTCTGAAGGCATAAAGTAATAAAAAATTGTAAACAATAAATATATTTGTATTCATATCTAAAATCAAATTACAAACATAGAGAAAAGATAAAAAAATTTTAAGCATCGGTTTGTAGTGAGAATGAGAAGTGGTAGGTGGTAGTAGTGGTGGTAAGAGACGGTGATGGTTATGGTGGGTGGCAATGACCGTGGCGATGGTGGCGGCGATAATTGTGGTGGTGGCGACGGTAGCGATGGTGGTGGTGGTGATGGGAACAGTGGTGGGTGGTGGCGTTGGTGGGGGCGGTAGTGGTGGAGGTGGTGGCAATGGGGGCGACGGTGGCAATGACAACGATGGCGATGGCGGCGGTGGTGGTGATAGAGGTAGTGGTGAGGCGGTTTCAAACACTATTTTTTTAAAGTATTTGTGAAAAATAATTTGTACAAGTATTTTTAAAAAGTTACTTCAAACATATCCTTAGAGCCCTATTTTTTCTATTAAATTTAGGGTATTAATATTGACCGTTAGATTAACTTTAAAGTAAAATTTAAAGCGATTTCAACCGTGAATAAAAAAAAATCATTTTGTTTATCTTTTAAGATTTAAATTATAAATTACTTTATTATATAGATTATTAATTTTTGGTTTCTTCTTTTGAAAAAGATTCAGAGTTAAAATGATTTAAAACTTCTTACAAAGAAAATTGATTAACTAGAGAAGGTTTTTTAAATTGTCTATCTGATTGTTCTTTCTTATAGAAGTTTTCAAATATTTTTCAATAGCTTTTTTTTTAGCTATTGGATCTGCATTTTAATTTATTCAATCGAAAATTATAGATCGAGATTTTAAAAAAACATTAATTTTTAAACCATTGGTGTCAACTATAACTTTGTTGAGCTTGACAAGATAAAGAACATTAGTTGTTATTAATATCACTTTTGACTACTTGATTCAATAGTTGAATTTATTTCAAAACGTTCATCATCAGAAGACAAACAAGATTTTTTCGTGTCATTAAGCAATATTTTGTATAAGTGATGTATGAGATCATCTTGTTGAATAATGTCATTGATCTTTTATTTAGTTAAATATTTATTGGCATAATGGCTAGATTTGTAATATTTGTAGAATATCATTTTTTTTATATTTTTAGTTTGATAAGATTTTCTCTTGAATTTTATCTTTTTATAAAAAAGAACATTGTACTCATATATATATATTTTTGAATTTAGAATATTTTTTAGTCTTAATAGAATTAATTTTTAGGGAAGGACTTGGATCAAGATGGCAAGCAAAATTCATCTAACACTTCTTTTTTTCCTATCACAAGTTGTCTTTTTTATTTTCTTTTTTTGGGTGGAACTGCAATCCTTTATTTCAAGAAGATAGTCTTCAAAGAGTATCATTGGACCAAGTTGGGTTTTTTTTTTTTGGTAAGACTAAGTAGGCTTTGAGGTTTAAATCATTATTTGGAGTCAAATTTTCATTAATACATTCATTGACTAGTTCATCATTGGTGTACAGATTATAAGAAATAATTATTCTTCTATTTTATTTCCGAGTCTAATTCTTATTTTTTCTTCAAACAAAGTAGAAAGACTAGAAATGAATAATTTTTCCCAAATATCAATATTATCATCATGTCTCCTCATGACTTTTGTAAGATAAATGTCTTTATGCCACCTAAATTGAGTAAGTGTAAGACATATAAGATTCATGAGTAAGTAAAATAAAATTGATTGATATTTTTGAATATAATGTGAAAATTTATATAGTTAAAAAATAGAAAAAAAATAAAGATAATAATTCAATGGATAAAGTATAATTTACTTAAAAAAAAATGCATGTGCCTTTAGACCAACAAAGCCGCTGTTGGTTGACCCATTTGTCTTCCTCGTTTCTCACAGATAAAATACCAAACTCCTCCTCTCATTCCACATTGACGGCGCTGTCCTTCCCATTACAAAACTCCCCTCTTTCTATGCTGTCATATATTCAATGACCATATTATCCCTACCTTCCACTATATTACCGTGACTCTGGACATTGAAGTTCAACAACCCACCATCCCAAGATCCCATTTTCGCTCTCTGGTGTGTTTCTCTCTGTGTGTTTGTGTGTGAGAGAGAGAGAGAGAGAGGACATTGGCAATGGATATCCATATTGTATTGAAGGTGTTAGTGTCCATTACTGTGGTTGGAATAGTGGGATTGTTCATACGTCTGTATAATGCACTGGTGGCGAAGCCAAAGAAGCTTCAAGCCGCGTTGAGGAAGCAAGGGATAACCGGTCCACCGCCGACTATTTTACTGGGAAACATCTTGGAGATCAAGAAGTCCAGAACCCCAAAGCCGCCAACCTGTGGAGCTCCGGAGAACCACGACTGTGCCAATGTTCTTTTTCCCTTCTTCGAGAAATGGCAAAAGCAATATGGTATTTATTTTCTTGCATATTCATCTTCTCTGTTCATCATACATTTTAATTATTAATTAATTTACAAAAATAACACATGATATATGACGCTCCATATATAATTGGAACTTTATTTCTTCATGTCTTTACTACCTATTTTATGCCATAAATGGGTAAAAAGATTTTCAGAAATGTTATTCCTACTTTCTTTTTGATTACAGTACTTTTTACAGTTTCTTTGAAAACTATTTGCGCGCGTGGTTTGGTTTTCAAAAATAATTTTTTGTTTTCAAAATTTTAAAAACAAGGAGATGTTATTTGTTTAACGTTTTTATTCTCCAAAATTTTGAAAAATGAAATGTGATTTTAGAGAATAATTAAATAATATTTTAATTATTTTTTAAGATTAAATGAAAATAAGGGAAACAACCTATCTCAAAATTAATGAGGTCTCCTTTCGAATTTCATAGAAGACAAAAAAGAGAGACCGACTCCGCCGCCTCATTGAACTCCCTCCACCGCCTCACTGCCTCTTCCGTCCTCAAACCAAAAATCAAATCCCCAACTCCCAAAATTCACCAAATCTGCACTCTTTTACTCCGCCAACATTCTCAAAATTTTCTTTTACTTCGAAATTCCTCAATCTTACAAAACCTTTTAGAGCCCTAATTCTTAAGAAGTACCTTTCAATTTGTCTCTCCCTAATCTCGCTGTCTTCAAAGCTATCTCTTTGAAGGTTGCCCGTAAGAACTCTGTAAACTTTCTTAATTCACAGCTTCGAGGCTTCAAAATTTGAATTTCAGCAACACCCATTTCCAGTTCCTACACAATCAACCTTGAAAAATCATTTAATTGTGATAATTTGTTGGTTGATGGAAGCCCGGATGATAATAATTTTGATCCAATTTTCTTGCTTGATGATGAGCTCGAAGAAGATGACCTTTCGCTTTCGCTACTTCAACTTCTTTCTTGGGTGGTTGTGGGTTATTGGGTGGTGAAAGAGAGAGACAGGGAGTTGAAAGGAGAGAGAGATAGAGTTGAAGGAGAGGTGGGAATGGTAAATTATTATCCAAATAAATTTTATAATTTTTGTTTTTTAAATTTATTTTTAAAAATATATAACTAAACAAATTTTACAATCTAAAAATTTTTAAAAATAATTTTTTAAAATTTTTTTAAAAATAATTTTCAAATACTATTTTTTGAAATATAAATTAGACAAGTCCTATATTTTTTTGCCGATGTTCAGGAATTAAAAAATAGATGAACTAGAAAAGAATTTCGATTATATATAGACATCGAATGACCCAGCACATCAAGTTAGACTTTATCAAAAAAAATTTAATAAAGTGATAGATAATAATTTTTTTATTAAAAATATATAATATTTTATTGATGGTGTACAGCACATGACACGACTCCCGTGTTGTACCCGCTATTTGTATAATTCCTCCACCAACGATGCTATGTTCATCGGACAAACCTGAGTTTGTGGTGGTTGGCAAAGTTTGGAATAAGCTTGTTGCTATAAGTCAGAGTCGCCAAGGTTGAATATTTTGATAGGACTTTTTAATCTGAAACCGAAGAGAATGGAGACCCATCTGTCCTGATAGGAATCGGACTGTCTTAATTTTTTT